GTGAAAACTTTAAGAATTTATATGCCCACCCCACCTCCTTCCCATAATACCTTCTGTTTATAACTTTTACGTCACTCGTCATATCTTGATGTACTTATCACATCAAGATCCGGTCATTTCTGTATCAAAATTACTGACGGTTTGTCTATAGCCCCCCCCCCCCGTTTTAAAAAGAATAGCAGTAGAATAGATTTATTTTGGTGGACTGGCGGACTAATCTTCAACCAAGTTGGTTAGTTGGTAATGTAGTTTTCAGCTAAGTGCAAACACGATCAAACTCTCAGGGGCGGATCTAGGATTTTTCGCACGTTAGTCAAAAATCTATGACGTCATCGATGACGCAAAAAGTGATGACGTCATTTGCCATGACGTCATTCAATGTCACGATGATAGTCCAACTTTCGTGGGAGTATAGATATTTTATTTTATCAAACTACAAATGCGCAAATGACATAGTTTTCGTACCTGCCAATGTTCAGCATATATATGATAAAGTATTATATAGACTGTTTTGCCCTACAGCGTATACCTTGGTTCATCAGCATGCCTAGGAAACACATTTACCAAAAATAGTAAACCATGATCCAACAAGGACAGCTCCTTGAAAAAGCTGAACACAAGCACATGTTTCTGGCACCTTAAAACTAGATTGCTTGCCTTCATACCTTTTCAAGAGCAAAAGGAGTTTGGTTAGAACTTAGAAATGGGTGACAATGAAAACCACCTAAAATGAGCAATCTGGTTTTAAGGTGCCATAAACCCACCTCACACCTTTCACCACAGCAAAAGGAGCTTGGTTAAAAATGGGTGACAATATGTGAAATTGCCCAGTTTTTCCCTTTAGCCCCTTCCCCATTCCCACTATTACTAACCTATGTCTAATCTAATTAAATTCATCATCTTGTTATATACTGTCCACTATGAAAATGTATAACATCACAAGTGAAATTGTGCCTCAAAGCTGCAGCTTCATTGGAAGCCAACTTTTATTGAAAACAAGTTTATTTTACCTGGCATTTTAATTAAACATATTTTAATCACAGTAGATTCAAATACAAAAGATTCATTAGAAATGACTATTACTTTACTTATCTAGTTATCTGAAATAATTGGCAAGGTTTTTAACACAGTATTCTATTATTCTTACACTATGCTTACATACTGTATATAGACACATACTATCAACATGGTGTTTGTCTATCAGGGCCTGAAATAACATTCCCAAAATTCCCGATCATGGTGATTGATCATGGTGATTGGCAGTCATGACTTTCCCTGCTTTTCAGGTTGAAAACCCTGCTTTTCCGCTGATCATAAGCAATTTCTTGCTGATTATTGATTGGTAATCAGTTGTTATTTCAAGCCCTGGTCTGTTGAAAAATTTAACTGGTTGAAGATGCAATGGACCCATCTCAAGCCAATGAGATCAGACCAATATTTGGCATCAGCTTTTGTCTACAAAGCCCGAATGTTTGGGGAGGGGGGAGATTATGGGAATTAAGGTGGTGATCTTGAAAGACTAAGTTTGGTTGATGATGAAGGAAGTTTTTTCTCATGCCCCAGGAAGTTTTTTCTCATGTCAGTGTTGTGTACAAGAGTGAGGTTATTGTTATTGGAGGCGAGAGTGGTCTTTTTGCAAGCCGATATATTTAACTTTAACCTCATGTTCCAGAAAATTTATTAATAAAGTTTCCTACAGTATGTTAGGAATAATATCCTGGTGAATTTGCATCATGACCAAGCCAAGTCATTTAATTTATAATTAGTCTTCAACCATAGTGCTTCTTCGCTTATACTGTATAAAAAGTGACCTACTGTATAGACCTTTCACACTTGCACTGTAAACATTTAAACTATCAAGGTCAAATTTATAGGTCATTGGTACCTGTCAATGCTTAGGAAACAGTGCTATACAGGCAATTGCCAGTTGCATTAGATCTGAAAATCAATATCAATTGATAGGTTACCGTGTATAAATATAATTAAATACAATATCTAAAAATATAACCAAAGATTATATTATTATTATTATTATCTTCATAAAGTACATTTGTAGAGCTATTATCAGTCAATCAATACTCTATAAAGCATGTACACAATAAATATTTTTTATCCAACATGATCAAATATTTGAGATCAAGTTTCTGCCATTTGAGGTGTTTTAATTTTATACACATATATAAAATGAATATGTATGCAGTATATGAAACTTTGGACCTATAACCTCGCACAATTATGCAAATCGTACGTTCAATTCAACGATTTATTGTTCAAAATTCAAACCACTTTACCTTATTGCCATACACCTCTTAGTAATCTCTTGAAAATATATTAGACGACGAGAAATCAACACATCATAGTTTCGGCCAAGACAATTTTCTTGCTTCCATCGAATTTATCAGCTTGAAATATTCTCCACAGAACACCAGAGAGCATCCCTTATCGTAACAAATAACGATATAACCCTTTCGAAATCTTTATTTCGAAAATAGTTCAACAATAACAAATATACTAAGATTAAGCGAAATAATTCGCTTGTAAAATTGTACAGAGCTGCAACAGAGCTACCAAGTGCACAATGCTTCCAAATTGAAGATTAGAAGGCCAATCAGAGGAGATGTTCTTTAACTCTTTTTCGCAAATTGTCCAATCAGAAGCTGCTATCTATTTGCAGGATTAGTCAAAATAGTCAAAATTGCGCAATCGTTAGTCAAAATAGGTCTGACCAATCAACATGCCTGTAATGTGTAATCTGAGCAAATTTGACCAATCAAATCACATGAACTAAAATGCAGAATAGTCAATTTTCATTTCAATACCGCTTATTTGACTTATCGTTTGACCATAGATATAGGAGATCTAGATTGCTAACGCATACCTAGCGCAAGGCCTACATGATAAATATGCGTTTGACTAATCAATCGCTGGCTCAATGTGCAAAAACTGATCGAAGTTTATATGCTGGAGTGTGATGTAGTTTTGATTGCATGATCAGAAATGAACAGAAGCGTTTGCGCTGGGAAAAAAATTCAAAAACCTTAGTCCAAATTTTTTTATATGCCTTTTTTTTACGTTAGTCGCGTGACTAATCTGACTACCCCTAGATCCGCCCCTGCTGTACTATGTATATATACCCATATACTGTAGAGAAAGTAACTTGAATGCAAAGAAAATCATTAAGAAGTAAACTGTGTGTTATCAGTGTCATTTACAGTGAAGCATGTTAACTTTTTGAATAGAACAAGCGTAAGATATTGGAATCGTAACGCGCCGGTTAATAGAATCCAAGCACTCAATTACGCTAATATTGTACATGTTTAAGATCAAATTTCGCCAAAACACAAAAGAATCCCAAACATCTGAAATCGTCGTCGAATGACTACATCCTAGCCCTAACAAATTATGCATATGTACATTTATATTATATAGAAAGTAGGACTATTGTAACGTAGATTATTAGTTTACTGTCATTCCAATTGAAGTGTTCCTCAAATATTGATTCAATACATTACCTCGGGCTGACCAATTCATTTGATCAAGTTCCTCAAAATATTCATACACTTCCTAGTATAATTGTAAACTTCCTGTTGAATAGTTTGAATGCACCAATCTCACCTTTGTTGTTTGTGCAACTAACCAATCATAAATAGAAAGGAAGTGACCAGAAATGATCAAATTCTTGGAATTGGCTCTTTCACAGGAAGTGTATGAATATCTCGAGGAACTTGATGAAATGAATTGGTCAGCCTGAGGTAATGTATTGAATCAATATTTGAGGAACACTTCAATTGGAACGACAGTAAGCGATATTATTGTCGCGATTATTTTGTGTTGTTATTGCCCGTATAATTTTCGCGCGTTTTAGAATAAATTAATTACATATTCATAACATGGCGCCCAACGTGGGGCCGTATTTTCGTCGTTTAAACATCGTTTTCGTTTGAATTTGATTGTCGTTTGAATTTTGAAGTATTCGTTACCATGAGTGAGACAGATATTGACCGTTTAAAGGCAAAAAAAAGGGGGCATCGTGGAGTTACAACAAAATTTATACAAGAAGCGAAGTCGATTGTTGAAAACCCCGAGATAACCACGTTGAATCGTTCACGTTTGAAGATTTTAGACAACTTTATCAACTTACTTGAGGAGAAAGAGAAATTATTACGAGGTATGGACGATGAAATGTTGTCGTTGTGTAAGGTTGAAGACATTGAGAAAGAAATAGAGGATGCTGACGCAATACGAGCGAGAATTTTAGAAATAAGAGGTATGATTGAGTGTTTGAACACATTTACGTCACAGCCCTCGTTGTCAGGCAATATAATGCACCCCCTACACAAAATACGGACATGGCTGAACAGCAAGAAAGTATTTCCGAGCAGAATGTGCCTTTACCTACTGAAGAACACCCCACAAGTATTTCTGTAGAGCCAGTAGAGGGGGCCCCATCATACCCATCCAGTTTTACTGTGACCCCAAAGCTACCAAAGTTGGTTCTACAAAAATTTAATGGCGAAATTACAAAATTTAGAACATTTTGGGATCGTTTTGACAGTTCAGTTAATAAGAACCCAAACATTTCACCAATCGATCAGTTTAATTATTTGCAAGGACTTTGGGAAGGTCCAGCTGCTAGAGTTAATCAAGGATTGCCTTTAACTGAGGCAAATTATAATGTTGCATTGAATCTTCTTGAAGAACGTTTCGGGAATACACAGCATATAATATCAATGCATATGGATGAACTTTTGCAACTGCCTACATGTTTAGGAAACAAACCTGCTGAGCTTCGTCTGATATGTGATAAGGTTGGGGTCAATGTTCGTGGTCTGGAGTCTTTGGGAGTGACATCTGATAAATACGGGAGCTTTCTCATACCCATCATTATGTCTAAATTACCACCAGATGTTCGTCTTCAGATCGCTCGAGTTACAACGAAAGATGTTTGGCAAATCGAAGAAGTATTGAATGTATTGAAGAGTGAAGTGCAAGCAAGATAGATGAGTAGTAATCTGAAGATAAGGGATCCAAGTACTCAGCCAAGACAGAGAATGCACACAACGGGTGCATTTTTCGCAGGAGATCAAAATGGGAGCAATATATGTTGTGTGTTTTGTGATGCAGAACACTTTTCCGCCTCGTGTGAGAAGATTAAAGATCCACAAGCCCGAAAGAATATTTTGAAGAGACAAGGACGTTGCTTTTTATGTTTGAGAAAGGGTCATCGAATAAACCAATGCACCTCCAATAAACGATGCCGCAAATGCCCAGGAAAGCATCATCAGTCAATCTGTGAATTTAATTCGAGTCGACCACCACAGGACCCATCGAGTCAACCACCAGAGAACAAACCTGGGCAAGCTTCCACGACTGGAGCTGTTGTCAATGAATCGTCAAATGGTACAACCACTACATCTGTGACAAGAAGTCAAACGAGAGTATTGTTACAGACAGCAAGGACATATGCATATTCCAATGAAGGTTCAGAAGTCTTACCTGTCAGAGTGCTCATTGATACTGGAAGTCAAAGATCGTACGTCACAACTGGTCTACAGCAAAAGCTTGGTTTGAAACCCATCAAGAAAGAATCATTAAATCTTAATACCTTTGGTGATGCCGGTTTCTCGAAGAAAGACTGTGATTTGGTCCAATTAACGCTACAAGGAAAAAATGACCAAGATATAAAGATCGCAGCCCTGAGTTTTGGTAACATATGTTCGCCACTACCTGGAACAATAAACCTAGAAAGCTATCCTTCGTTTTTAGAGCTGGATCTTGCCGACTATAACACAGCTTCAAATAGTAATGATGACATTGATGTTTTAATAGGATCGGACTACTATTGGGATGTTATAACCGGACATGTCATTCGAGAGAGTAATGGACTGGCAGCAGTCAGCAGCAAGTTTGGTTGGTTGGTTTCGGGCCCAGTACAAAATACCAAGAATGGGGATAACCATGTAACATCCAACCTGATACTCCAACAACCAAGCTATTCCATATTAAATTATGAGCAACCATCCAATTTAACTGATAGTT